GGCGGCTGGTTAAGTAATGCTGTTTGTCCCATTATGGATCTTTGTATGTGAAATTTTGTGACTTCATCGCATATTTAACTTATTGACTTATGCAAGAAACTCTCAAATAATTATATGTAACTCTCTTCAAATATATGTTACGAACGAGTTAAGTGTAAATATTTATTCTATTCAATTATGAGAAGCATTAAGTGTGATTTGCCAGCTAGTAAAAGTGAATCTCAAATTTGAGGACGAGACCATAAATGTGTTGAGAAACAAACCTGCTTTCAAACTAATTTTGTGTACAGAATCGAATTGGGTCAGAGCACACAATCTGAAATGGAAAGCAAAAATGCTTTCGCTGCATTTAAGGCGAATGATATGAACAGATTTACCTACGTATATGTGCAGATACATTTATCAAGACGATTAAATAGAATATCATGCACCGACGAACGCGAGTGACGAGTGGAACGAGTCATATTTCTTGGTAGCTTGGTGGGCATAGAGAACGCCAAATGAAAATTGGAGCAACAGTCACGCCAGCATACTGGCTGTCAGCATACTCTAACAAATCAATATGTCCAATCCGCCACGAGAGCGCTAAACGGGCCATTAAGTCAACTGGCATTGAGGAAGACATTTGTCACTCCATGTCGCGACGATGCTGTTATATCGCAGCGCTTTAATGTGTCAGTGCGATTAGGATTGAGACTTTCTAAGAAGACTCCACCAAAAGACTCCAGCCTCTGCCAACCCGCTGCCCGCTGCCCGCTGACCGCCTGATAGGCCGGCCAGCTGACAAGAAGTTAGAAGACGATTGCCGTTTATGTCTTCATTTCCTAAATACTCGTATAGAGCAGTTGTTGCCTGCAGACAGATCTGCCCAGGCCCCGCTGCGTATACTGCAGAATGAATTATTTATCAATTCAGAAGCCTACTACTACTGCAAATGAAGTTGATGTTACATTTAACCAAATTTGGTTTTGCTTATTGCCGTTTCTGTGCTTGCTAATTGCCATTGCTAGAGAGCTGTAACAGCTAACAGCAACAGGCACTAGGCACTGGTGAAACTTACACAAGGCTTAGAAAAAGAAAGGCTTACGCGAAGAACTTCATTGCAGCTTCATGCAAATATATGCTACTCTTAGGCGCGAGCCATATAAACGTTAAATTTTCATTTGACTGGGATAATAAATATTGCTGCTAATTGTTAATGTGGTTTCACTTATGTAGCTCGCCGGAAAAGAAGCCCAAATCAACACAACTGGTATTCTAATTTGGCACCAGAGTATTCCACTTGCTATTTACTTTTTTTTTCAACACATTTAAATTCATACGACGTCCCAAGAGTCAAATAGCGTCAAATTAAGAAATCGCTGCAAGCTAACAACGTTCGAAGAAAGTGAAATTTTATTTTTTGTATTTATATATCTCGCAACCGGTAATACAACAACACCAGCCGCAGAATAGGTATTCGTTATGCTAGTTCGATACTCCAGTAATGAAGCCATAATTCATTATAATATATATGTATTTGTACATACATATATAAAAACACGCTAACAATTTAAGTAGTAGCTCTAGTTGCCACTGAAGGTGAAATTTGGATTCAAATGAATATGCTACATACACATCTGAAGAACCAGAATTGAATATATAACGATCTGAAGGAGCTAAACACACGCTTATCGATAAGAAAAGTCCTGACGCAGGTAATGAGTGAAATATCCGATTCGACTGATATCAATATTTTGTAACGGACCTAAAGCTTTGGAGCGCCCAAGGCCCGTCTACCAAAAAATTAACTCATATTATGTGACGCTGGGTCAGTTTACACTTTTGTGGTAATTTACCGTTATTAGTTTTGTTACTTGCAATCCTCTGTCCATTTTTGCAAGATCCATTGTTTACTTTCACTTTGTTTGGCACTCGCACACAATCAATGCCAAAAGCGGCTTACAGAAATTTCATAAAGGGATTTTGCACTGTTTCACTTGTTTTGTTTTTTGGGGCCGTAGCCTGATGGGTTACCGATTTGGGTTTATCGTGGGTCACAGGTTATTAGCCAACGTGTTTGGATATAAGTTTGGAGTAGGTTTGAGATTTGTATTTACATAACTGCAACTCGTAATATTCATAATAATTAAAATAGTAATTTTCATTTATGCACACACTCGTATACGCAAATTGTTTATTTCTGCAGTTTTCAGCTGTCTGTCTCGGTAGATCAACAGGCGCACATAAACCAGAAGAGCGATTCCAACGGCGAAGCCCAAAATGAAATCACGTTTACACGCTTCGCACTCACGTTTGCAACTGCGTCGAGCGCTGCGGCACAAGAGCCACCGCACGCGGACTCGGCAAATAGCGACAGCAGCGTCGACAGTACCGACCCCACTGCGCGCCCGTAAAATCGGAACCCAACATTAGACAGAGCCAGAAAGACTGCCAAGCCGCGACGCAAGCGAAAACGCTTTCTATACCCTACACGTATTAACAAAATTGGGTACCCCAAGTTTGAAATTTATGTAACACATAACAGCAAAACGATCAAATCGAACTGGGGCGTTAATAAAGGTGTTATTATAAAAAACGTTAACGTGATTAGCGTGTTAGCTAACTAAAACAAATAACACCAAATGCACTCAACAAATATTTTCTTTGTCACTTCATATGGCGCCGGGATATTTTACAGGGTATCGATGTGCAAGTATTGTCGGGTGGAGCAATCTTGTTATTTTTACGGGTCTGCATGGTTTTTTGCGATGGCAGGAAAACTTTTTCTTATTTATTATTCGAAACGTTAGCGTCGGACGGGCGCAGCAAAACACAAACATTGAAAAACAAGCGAGCGCCGCAGCAGCAGCGCCAAAAACACAATAACAACAACAAACCACAGGCACAAAAAGAGCCACACGCAACGGCAGCGACACGACGAGAGAGCAAAGCGCAAGCCCGAAGATGAAGATGGCACCCGAGACGAACCGAAGGCACGACTTTGCTGCTGCTGATGCGGCCGCTGCTTTTGCCGTTGTTGTTTTTGATTGTTGCTGCTGGTGGGCAGCGGGAGCTTCGCCGAGCAGCGAAGACGATGACGCTGCTTAGTAGGTCAGTAGTGGCCTTTAACTTTGTTGGTGTGCTGCTGGCGCTGGCGCTGTTGCTGATCTTTTTGTTGTTATATTTTGTTGCGCTGCATGTTTGTTACTATTCATTTAAACATAAGCTGCGAAAAGTTGAGTTTGAAAGTGTGTAGTTGCTAGACGCATATTACGCAGTTTCTCGGTTATACAGCTGTTTTTGAAAAACTGCTCCCGCTGTAAATCTCGATAGATGTTAGGAAGTTCTAAAATATTTACATATCTACCCGACATTAGCGTTAAAATCATAATACCATAATATACTAGTCATTTCGGACAAGAACCCTATGGTCCACAAATATTACAAGCTTCCGAGCGAAATTTTTCAATCCCGTTTTAGTGTTCAATTACATCGCAAATGTGTGTATATACATAAATCAATAGGTATCTGTCTATGTATATAGATATAGACCAGAAGATCAGCTTATTTTTATAAAAATATATATGTATATATAAATAAATGTAAATGTGCACTTACCCAAACAATTTATTGGTGGGAGACTGACAGACTTTTATACAATTTGCACAACCACTAAAAGAACAAAAGAAGAAGAGATCAGATTAGAGCAAAGCCTTTAGAAAATAAGCAAAACAAAATGACAGACAGAGAGAGAGATAGAGAGAGAGATAGAGAGGATAAATTGCAAGAGTAATTCAGAGCGAGAGTATGAGCAGAAATAAAGGTTATTTGATTAGCAACACAATTTGGTTATAATGGTCTGCGCTTGGTAAGAGATATATTTGCATTTATATATAAAAAAAAATGTGTCGTTCTTTTAAAAAATATCATTGTTTATAAAAACTAAAAATGTGTTTATAAACTCTCTAATCTTACAAATGTAATGTTACCTTACAGATATAGTGACTATATCGATCTACTAATAAATTAATAACGAGTCCCAGAGCAAAAACAGCATATAAAGTAATTTAAATTGTGATATTAATAGTCTACATTTAACGGCATACTAAAGGGTATCTAACTGTAGATCTTAATAATTGTTTTAATAATTTCATGTTTGCAGAGCCCTTGGCTCCAAGCATTACGTTTTCACATTTACTTCACGCGCCTTTGGTGTGTATGTGAGAATGTATGTGTGTACCCACACTCTACTATATTTGGTGTTAAATGAAAGTGCACTTTAAATATTAATGTATAATAAATAAAATGAAAATAAAAGTTTTTACGTTTTATATTTTTTCAAACAACGACCCCTTGCCAGATTAAATGTTTTATAAAAAAATTAAGAGTTACCCATGCAGTAGAATACAATTTCTCATTTACAACAACTGAACAGGTGGTTATAATTTACAATTACAATTCTCTATGGTCGCCGGCGACGCCAACATGTCTGAGCCAAGCTGATTCTGGTTCTGGGCGAGATGAAAGTTTGCGACTGGCTGGTTTGTTCCTCATGCAACTGCAACTCGGTTCATTAGCATCATCTTTACGAATACTGTGCAGCAAGTAGTGCGTACTTACGAGAAGTTGTGTAGACTGACTAACATACAGATTATATGTTTTAAATTTTAACAAATAGACAAATAAATGTTCTACTTTCACCAGATAGTGAAGCGGTCGGAGCAGCGCACGAAGAACCACAAAGAGAAATTTCTGAAGCACAAATCCAAGACGAATTGTCAATGCAGAAGCTTACAGTTGATAAAATAACTGATATTAATTTTTATAAGAATAAATATGTTGATAAATTAGCTTCTTTATTTCGTCAATTTTTTTATTTTGAAATCATTTTTAAGAATTCAAATTGTGATATTATAGCAGAAAACATTTGTGAGGCTGGCAAAAACTCAAATTATATATCTGTCAGCTTTTGTTGCGTGATGGGAATTCTTATCGATAGTTTGCATTTACGCTGGTTTAGCTTGCAACTGCAATATCGAACTATCGATATTATATTGTACATGAGTAAAAAATAAAGAATATCAAAACAGTTTAAGTTGCAATGGAATTTGCCGAAAACATGGATTTAGAAAATGATCGAGTGCTGAAACTGATATTCCCGAATGGCGTTCCAGGTTATTATTATCACTGCAAAGTACATTACCCCAAGGTACTACTTCATTATTATTTTTCTTGAAACTCTCTAGAAAATCTGCGTGGCAATCCAGAGCTAGATAAATATTTGGTAAAATTGGGAACTTGCAAAGTGGAGCAACTGAAGAAAGAGCAAACAAGGCTAGCTGATGAGACTAAGCGTATATTGGAGCAAACACAAGAACTCGCCATATCCAATTACAAAACCTTTATCACGACGGCGGAGAACTCTCGTTCGATATTTCACGAATTTCAGAAAGCCGAGGAGCAGGTTGACACACTTATAGACAAACTGCCTACGTTCAGTGCCAAGTGCCAGGAGTTTCTTCAAAAATCGGCGGAACTAACCGAGCAGCGGCGTCTGAATAGCACAACCCTTCACAAGAATGCTCAGCTGTTGGAGATACTCGAGCTGCCGCAGCTGATGGAGCGCTGCATACGCGAAGGCCGTTACGAGGAAGCGCTTGAGCTGGCAAGCTATGTGCAGCGGCTGGGCCAGCACCAAGGACAAACAATACCCGTGGTGAATGTACGTGACATATTCCACTCTCTCTTACTTGCCTCATGCAACAATATTTTCAATGCAGAGCATTGTGCGCTCCGTGGAGGCCTTGTGGCATACCATGCTCGTGCAGCTAGTGGCACAGATGCGCATGGAACTGCAGCTGCCCAAGTGCTTGCAAATCGTCGGCTATTTGCGACGCATGCAGGCCTTTGGCGACAACGAGTTGAAATTGAAGTTTTTACAGGCGCGTGACGCTTGGTTGACATCGTGCCTGGACGCCATTCCAAAAACAGACGGTAAGCTAACTGGGCAGTTGAAAACATGTTTAAAAATTATTACCTTATAGCTCAGCAGCATCTAACGAAGACCATAGAAATAACGCGAATCAATTTGTTTAATATAATCACGCAATACCGCGCTATCTTTCCGGAGGGAGAGCATGCAAGCAAGTCGGCCGGATTGAAGCAGCTGCATGGTGTCAGCTGCAACGGACTGCGCCTTTTTGAAGCCTGGCTGCATAATAAGGTAAGATGCTCTAATGCTAATAGCTTAGCTCATACAACTTTTATGTGTTCGTTTGCAGATAAACGCCTTTCTGTTGACACTCGAGGAAGATTTGCAACGCGGCATTAATTCAATTGAAACTGTGCTGGGGCAGTGTATGTATTTTGGACTTTCCTTCAGTCGCATCGGTGCCGACTTTCGCGCATTAATTGCGCCCATTTTTGTACGCGTTGTGCGTAATAAGTTCGAGTCCAGCATTATTAAAGTTAATGAAAACTTTGAACAGGAGTTGGAAAAGTTTACGCTTATCAACAAGGTGAGCCTGCACACTCGCAAGCAGCTTGACACAACAGCTCTTTCCGGGAGTGAGCAGGACATGGAGTCGTATGCACCGCCAGAAACGTTGCTTGACTTTTATCCACTTGCCGTGCTCTGCAATGGTTATTTGAATGCGCTGAATGAGCTGCGCCTTTGTGCGCCCTTTGCTGTGGCTACAGATGTAACCTGTTGCTTGCAAAGGTCACTAGAGTTGGTGGCAAAACAAGTGCTCGCCTTCTATCGCCAAGAACAGCAAGCGTTTACCCGCAATGAACGCGAAACATTCGTTAAATTGTGCTCCTGCTTCGCGTACGACCTGGTGCCCTATGTGCAGCGTTGCATTCATGGCGTGTTCCCGCCTCAGTCCATAACCGTGCACCTCGGTATTAGCCTGCTTCAGCTAGAGCAACACCAATTAACCTACTTGATGCAGGCACAAATACTGGAACCGTTAAAGCATCTGCTGCCTACAAAAGTACTAATACATTCATCAGCACAGTCAACAACGGAGCTTAGTAATGTGTCTATTGCAACTGAGGGTTAAACACTTCCAATCCCCATCGATATCATTAAAATAAATATAATTAATACATTTTGTTTGAGATCCAAAAATTAAACAATTAGGAACTTGAAATAGGTCTATTTACGTTAGTTACGAATCCTATGCCCCTTTTCTAAAAAATAATCTTTGCTTTTAACTTGGCTATTAGATCTACGCCTAATCTATAGTATGATTAACAAGAGAAATATGTTGGTACTGTGAAAGTGGCTTTCTGGTGCCGATCATCCGACAACATTTAATGATAATATAAAAGAACCTGCATATTATATGAAAACTTAAAAATAATGCAAGGGAACAAGTTTTTGCAGTAAACATCTGTATGTAAATATAAGTTTACAAGCGACTAAACTCGCAATTGGGTACAAACACATCGTGTGAGCTGGTGCGGGTTGTAGTCTTTGTTCGAACATGTAGAGCCCACGAGAGTGCAATAATATTTTTACGCCACTGCGCGAACAATCAAAAAGCGACCCTCTACCAATTGTGCAGCCAAAGCCAATATGGGATGTGCGTAGGTGGTGCGCGAAGCCTAGCAGCTAAAGCGCCGACATGGCAGGTCAGATTGAGTGCGGTTAGAGCGGGCAATGGTCGGCCGGTAACGTTTATAAGCAATTTCGCGTACAATGACTACATTTGGAGAAAGCCGTGCGCGTATTTTTCTTTGTTGCTGCTCTCGGCCGAATTCGAATGCGCTGTGCTGAAAATTGGAAAACATGGCAACTGAATACAAGGACACGGACACGGACACAAACGCGGATGTGGATATGGATGTGGATGTGGATGTGGACATGAGCGCGACTGCGGCTTATCGTTGGACGTCAGAGACCGGACGCTTTGACGACCACGGCCTTTGTGGGTGCGGACGTTTCTGTATTTTTAAGTCCACCACTAAATACAAACGAAAGCACTCAAGCACAAGTTGGTCACGATTTGGAGCTAACCGCTACCCTGGCAACGGTTAACAGACAACAGTGCCACCTTTTGGTGGAAAAACAAAAGCGGCCTACTACCGTTCATAGCCGTAGCCCAAATGGAAGTTGGGATTTTGATTGCGAATCGAAATAGATTTTGTGGTATTTGCAAAGCAGTGCGGAGCTGTGCGGAGCAGGCAACGAGTCTGTGTACGTGTCGGTGTGTGCTCATTTGTTACTTTGCCGCACCATGGACAACATTGCGTATACGCGTTTCGTTCGTTTATTGATTGATTGAATAGGAGGCAGGGTGGGGCCTTTTACACGCTTTTTGGCTTCGTTTTGAAAACTGTTCGTTTATTTTGCAATTTGTATTGCCGCATCTCGTAGTTGTGTCCTATACAGACTTGTTTTTTTTCCCCTCTACCCTATCCAACGCCAAATAGTTTATTTCTAGCCAAAAAATAGCCAGCTAAAAATTGCCAACGATTTGTGCTTCATATGAAGTAGATATGATGCATAATATTGGAGGAAGTTACATTTTATACATTGCAGAAATTATAAAAGCATGAATATGAATATATATGCCTGTCTATGATTAACTTATATGTCTTTTAAGTTAGTAAACTGACAAGTATTGTATGGATGATAATTTGTCAGGATATTTGCCAATTGTGTGCTCATACTTTTTTTATTTAACCCAGACCTAGGCTGGCACTCCAGATGTGCGCCTGCATAGAGAAAAATATCTCATGCTTTAAATTAAATTATTTACTGAAGCTCTCATAATGCATCCATTTTGGTCATTGTTTGGGAAACTGAGTCGAAATGGTGTCTCAAAAATAAATTCAATTTACTGCCTAGCGACCAAAGATGCGGAAGCCACTTCTGGGCTTTGGAAGGTGTTTTCATTTTAAGCCGATTGATTCATTTCAAAGCTGCGAAGATTCAATTTGGTTACATTTACTTATTCAGTATGCAAAATTATTACCGCAACACATTGAATTCAGCCAGCAATGACGACTTTTGGAGCTGCTCAACGAGTTGGAAAACACCCAGGGAGTTTTATTTGAATAGGTATGGGTAGTATATGTAAATTCGCATACAAATCACTTGCGTGCTCGCCAAACGCCCTTGGGGGAATGTTTTAGTTATCCTTTAGCGATTTTTCAAATAAACACGAAACACACTTTTCTTTACATTGCCTGCGGCAAAAAAGTTTGACGCGCGTCTTGTCAAGTGAGCCCAAGTATCTGATTTCGTCAAACTCGTTCGCTTTTCCCAAGCTGTCTAGGGAAATTGAAAAAATTCAGTTTTTTCTTGTGTCTCATTGATTTTGGTTTATTGTCGATGTCATTTTGTGCGCGCCCCAAGGACATTCTGGCTAACGTATGCGAGCCAGTTTTTGTTATGGCCTGGCTAATGTGCTCTAGTCCCAATGCTGCGGGCTAATTGTACATGAATTTGCAAGATTTGGCCAAACAATTTCGCAAGATATGCCTGATTAGCTTCGAAAAAGCGTTTTCCACATATCTGCACTCTGCGTTCCATCGTGACTTAATTAGCGACCTTTGTGTCAGGTGAACACATCAAAGGAGCCGCAATCAATATTCAAGTGAAACGCTCGGGAATGCGCGTCATTTTAATAATGCTAGCCTGCACCCTGCTCTCTCATCTTGTGCAATTGCTTCTTCTTCATCCCGTTGTAACCGCCAAAAGGGGGCGAAGCAAAAATGTCACGTTGCAACAAAGTTGAGAAAAAATTTATTCGCCATCTTCCCCATATTCCCCGCACCCGATTGATCCCCTTTTCTCCCATGGAAGCAGCACAATTTTTTGCACGTTCATTTGACAGCAGCTTTTTCCATTTTTCTGCATACCCTGCACACATTAAAATTGTGAAAAGGAAAGCTCTGCAATTGTGACAATCAAAGGGAGACATGTACGTTAAAGTATGCATGAGTGGGATATGTATGATGTGCATGCATATCAACAGGCGACTTGATCTCGTCGGATAACTCCGGATATCCGGATATGATCACGGACTTTTTTTTGTTATGTTAAAGTTGCTTAGATATTTTGGTACTGGGTATATTCCAATCAAACACTTCACTAAAGCATTCTTACATTTTTTCTTCCTTTTTTTCCCCTGTGATATTTTTATATTCTCAATTTTTATGTTCTACATAAGTGTGTGGCAATGTGTGTATGTATGTATGTATGTATATTATATTATATTATTGCGACGCGAACCAATAACCATCGACCGGGCAGCGTGAACTCAGCTTGCCATTGGCTTGTCCTCATCCTCATTCAGTGGCATGGGCTTAAGCCCAGACTCTAAGCTCCGTCTCCGTCTCAGCCTTTTCAACCAGCTCCTCGGTGCGCGTGTGTGTGTGTGTGTGTGTGTATATAGATGTGAGTTAGTGTAGGGTAGGGAGTGTGAATGTGTGTGGTAGTACAATAACTGACCGTTTGTTGCTGCCTCCGTCGCTGACCCGATTCACCTGTCCGCCGTGTTATGCTACGAATTTTGCCCTGTTATTTCTCCTTCGCCGCTGCCACCGTCTCCTTTGTCTCCTCTGTATTGTTGTCATGATAGTAAAGGTGCCAGCAAGTCGAGCAACAACTTGGATAAAACCTAACCCCGAATTCTCCCACACTGCCCTGTTGAGGTCATCCCGAGCGTAGCCATTTTTTTACGATTCGCTTGGGTTTCGTTCAGGCCAAGCAATATAATTCATTGAAGTTCTAGCATTTTTCAAAATGAAATTTTTTGTAACGATGATTGAACTACGTATCTACGTGGCTTTCCTGTGCAGCTGAGCCTGTATCTGTATCTGTATCTGTATCTGGAGCTGTACATGTATCCCAAACTATTGTTGTAGTTGTATCTGAGAGCTTCGTGGCCATTGTTACGAGTACGGGTTGCGCACGTTTGGCCTGTCCATTGAACGCCATATTATTGGTCGATTGAAAAGTAAAACATTTTTTATTATCCGCACGTGTCCAGCATCTCCGTAGCCCAGAACCCAGTCGCATACTTGCACAATGTGCCGTTATATGACTACAAAAAGACTATATTCAGTGTAAGATACATAGGAGTGGGTGGAGTGGGTGGAGTGGGTGGGCTGGGTGGCTGGGTGGGTGGTTGGGTTAGTTGGGTCGCTTGACCACCTACCTGTCATTGCCATAAAAGTTGGGACTTAACTACCCTTAGGTGTGGTCTGCTCCAGCCTTATGCAAAATGAGCTCATGGCTTTTATGATGCCCACACCGAGGCAGCGACTCACTTTGTGTGCTCCTTCATATTTGATAAGCAGGGTTTCCTTCTTCCTTTTTTTTTTTTGTTGCCATTTCCTTTTACTGCGCTGCACGCCATCAATATCTTTCTGCCTCTCTTTATCTTTTTTGCTCTCTGTCTTTCTCTTCCTTTCTTTTGGTTATAAAAATATTTCATTCAATTTTTTATTCGTGCCGACGTTCGGTGGCTCTCGCTCTGTTCCACGTAAATCTTTTGGGGCGGGGGCTATCTTCCCTTTTTGCTGATTTTCTGTTTCGCTTACGCTCGGCTTGTATGTCCAGCGATTTATTTGCCCAGCCAGCGGACCACATGGTTTCTCATTTTTTTCCTACTTTTTTTTTTTTTATTTCAGCGGCCACAGGTCGGCGACGCCATTGCCATCACCGTCGTCATCGTTTTCTTCGTTTTCGTCCGTTTTCGTCCGTTTTCGTCCGTTGCCGTGCTCGTCGGCTTTGGCTTCATAATTTCTCGCCGTGTTTGCTGTTGCTCTCTCGCTCGGCGAGACTGAGTCGTGGATTGTTAGCTGCGGGCTAGCAGCACACTTCTATTCTGCGGCATCTGATGCTCCGTCTCAAGTCCTAGTGCCAACCCATAGTTGAGCATGGGTCAAGTCCAGCCGAAGTTAATTTTGTTTCTCTTTGCTCCCCACCTGCTGGTTATGTGTTTGTTTGCACTTTTATAACAATGTTAGCGGATTGGGTGGTGTCGCAGCCGAGCCAGCGACCAAATGGATTTCTGATACTATTCCGGGTGGGGCGTTGCGTCTGCGGTTGCTTCTTAAATATGATGTCATACTTTATACAGTTCTTTGCTTTAGAATATATGTTTGTCGCTATTACAACGCATAAAAAATCTGTAGCATATATATTCTTTTCTTACTTATTCAAGCGCTGCCCAGCTGAACGTAC